CAGCGCCGGTCCGGTGGCGGCCGCAGCGCCACAGCGAGTGCGCCATCGTGTAGTGGTACAGGTCCCCGAACAGCACCCGGACACCGGGCGGCGGGGAGCGGGAGGCCGGGGCCTGGGCCTGGGCCCGCCCGCCCCCAACACTACCACAGCCCGCGGCCTGGGCCCGGGCCCGCCCGCCCCCAACACTACCACAGCCCGCGGCCTGGGCCCGGGCCCGGGCCTGAGTCTGGGCCTCCATCTCCTCCACCACCCCTCACTCACTCACTCACTCACACTCACACTCACTCACTCACACTCACTCCACTCACACTCACTCACACACACTCCTCACACTCACTCACTCACACACTCACACTCACTCACACTCACACACTCCACTCACACTCCTCACACTCACTCACACACACTCCTCACACTCACTCACTCACACACTCACACTCACTCACACTCACACACTCCACTCACACTCCTCACACTCAATCACACACTCCACTCACACTCACTCCTCACACTCACTCACACACTCACACACTCCACTCACACTCCTCACACTCACTCACACACTCACTCACACTCCACTCACACTCCTCACACTCACTCACACTCCTCACACTCACTCACTCACACTCACTCCCCTCACACACTCCTCACACTCACACACTCCACTCACTCACACTCACTCACTCACTCACACACACACTCACACACTCCACTCACACACTCACTCACACTCCACTCACACTCCTCACACTCACTCACACACTCCACTCACACTCACTCACTCACTCACACTCACACACCACTCACACTCACTCACTCACACACACACTCACACACTCCACTCACACTCCACTCACTCCTCACACTCTCACTCACACTCACTCACTCACACTCACTCACTCACACTCCTCACACTCACTCACTCACACTCCTCACACTCACTCCACTCACACTCCTCACACTCACACTCCTCACACTCACACTCACTCACACTCCTCACACTCACTCACTCACACTCACACTCACTCCACTCACACTCCTCACACTCACTCACACTCCTCACACTCACTCCACTCACACTCACACACTCACTCACTCACACTCCTCACACACACTCCACTCACACTCCACTCACTCACACTCCACTCACACACTCCTCACACTCACTCACACTCCTCACACTCACTCACACTCCTCACACTCACACACTCCACTCACACTCCTCACACTCACTCACTCACACTCCTCACACTCACTCACTCACACTCTCACACTCACTCACACTCCTCACACTCACTCACTCACACTCCTCACACTCACTCACTCACACTCCACTCACTCCTCACACTCTCACTCACACTCACTCACTCACACTCACTCACACTCCTCACACTCACTCACTCACACTCACTCACTCACACTCCACTCACACACTCCTCACACTCACTCACTCACACTCCTCACACTCACTCACACTCCTCACACTCACACACTCCACTCACTCACTCACTCACTCACACTCCACTCACACACTCCTCACACTCACACACTCCTCACACTCCTCACACTCACTCACTCACACTCCTCACACTCACTCACACTCACACACTCCACTCACACTCCTCACACTCACACACTCACACTCACTCACACTCCACTCACACACTCCACTCACACTCACACACTCCCCTCACACACTCACTCACACACTCCACTCACACACTCCTCACTCACACTCACACACTCCACTCACACTCCTCACACTCACTCACACACTCCTCACACTCACTCACACACACTCACTCACACTCACTCACTCCACTCCTCACACACTCACTCCTCACACTCACACACTCACTCACACTCCTCACACTCACTCACACACTCACTCACACTCCTCACACTCACTCACACACTCACACACTCCACTCACACTCCTCACACTCACTCACACACTCACTCACACTCTCCACTCACACACTCACTCACACTCCTCACACTCACACACTCCCCTCACACACTCACTCACACACTCCACTCACACTCACGCACACACTCCTCACTCACACTCACACACTCCACTCACACTCACTCACACTCACACACTCCACTCACACACTCACACACTCCACTCACTCACACTCACTCACACACTCCTCACACTCACTCACACACTCCACTCACACTCCTCACACTCACTCACACACTCCACTCACACTCACTCACACACTCCACTCACACACCTCACACTCACTCCCCTCACACACTCACTCACTCCACTCACTCTCCTCACACTCCTCACTCACTCCTCACACTCCACTCACACTCCTCACACTCACTCCACTCACACTCCTCACACACACTCACTCCACACACTCACACTCACTCCTCACACTCACACACTCCACTCACTCCTCACACTCACTCACACACTCCCTCACACACACTCACACTCCTCACACTCACTCACACACTCACTCCCCTCACACACTCCTCACACTCACTCCCCTCACACACTCCTCACACACTCACTCCCCTCACACACTCCTCACACTCACTCCCCTCACACTCACTCCCCTCATACTCACACACTCCCCTCACACTCACTCACACTCCCCTCACACTCACTCACTCCCCTCACACACTCCCTCACTCTTAAACACTCCCTCACACTCCCTTCACCTCACTCACACTCCCCTCACACACACTCACCTCACACACACACTCCACACACTCCCTCACACTCACCTCATACACTCCTCACATTCATACTCCTCACACTCACATACACTCCCTCAGACTCTCCTTACAAACACTCCCTCACACACTCCTCACTCACTCACACACACTCCCTCACGCACTCCCCTCACACACACTCCCTCACGCACTCCCCGCACACACACACTCCCCTCACACACACTCACTCACCTCACATTCACTCCCTCACACTTCTCACTCACACACCCTCACACATTCACTCACTCACACTCCCGCCCCCCCCCCACACTCCCCTCCTCACTCCCCCACTCACACTGCCTCCTCACGTTCACAGACACCTCACACTCCCCTCCTCACACTCACCCAATCACTCCCCTCCTCACACCTCACACTCATTCCCCTCATACTCACCCACACTCCCCTCCTCACACTCACTCACTCACCCACACTCCTCACACTCACATACACTCCCCTCCTCACACTCCTCTCCTGATACTCACTCAGACTCCCCTCCTCACACTCTCCCCCACACTCCCCTCCTCACACTCTCCCCCACACTCCCTCCTCACACCACCTCACACCCAGGAGGCCATTTGTGTCTGTGCGGCTCTTTGGACAGAGCCATCCAAGTCAAACCCACTCTCTTGCTGTCTCCCCATACCCTGCAGGTTACCCTGGAAGTCCTCGGGTTACCGACCCACCCGCCGGTGGAAATGGTTTCTTTGTTCACCCGATCGAATCCTCTCATAATTTTGAAACCCTCTCTGTTCCCAGGAGAATAATCCCGGCTTCTCTCTCCTCTCCTGATCCCTGAAGTCCCTCATTCCTGGCTCCATCCCGGTCAATCTCCTTTGCACCCTCTCCAATGCCTTGACATCCTTCCTAAAGTGTGGTGCCCGGAACTGAACACAGTCTCTCGCTGAGGCCTCACCAGTGTTTTATAAAGGTTCACCATAACCTGACTTTTATATTCTATGCCCCTATTTATAAAGCTTGGTATCCCGTATGCTTTTTTCAACAGCTTTATCTTCCTGTCCGGCCACCTTCAAGTATTACATGAACCTCCAGGTCTCCGTCTTCCTTCACCCCCTTTAATATTGTACCATCGGCTTATATTTGTGGAGTCCTGTAGCTCAGTGGTTAGAGCACTCGCTTTGCAAGCGAGAGACCTGAGTTCAATTCCAGGCAGAGGGCGAAACCTTGGGCAAGTTTCCTTACTCCACACAGAGCCTAATAATAATCCCTCCAAAACCAAAACAATAATTGGTCATTTTCAATCTACGACTGTTTGTGGGACATTGCTGTGCGCAATTGGCTGCCGCGTTCGCCCACAAATATACAGTCAATTCACTTTACAGTGTGTTCTGTGAAGCGCTTTGGGACGTCCTCCCGACGTGAAAAGCGCTATATCAAATGCAAGGATTATTATATTATATTGCTCATTCTTCCTCCCAAAATGTATCACCTTGCATTTCTCCACATTAAACGTCATCTGCCACGTACGTGTCTGCCCATTTTACCGGTCTGTCCATGTCCCCTTGCAGTCTGTTGCTATCCTCCTCATTGTTTACTACTCTTCCCAGCTTGGTATCACCCACAAACTTGGAAATTATACCCCTATACCCAAGTCCAGGTCATTTATATAGATCAAATACAAGGATTATTATTATCAAAAACAGCAATGTTCCCAATACTGACCCTTGGGGGACACCACTGCACACTTCCCTCCAGTCAGAAAAAACCCCCATGCTGAGGCAGAGTATAATAATTTGATTTGATAAAGCACTTGATCGTGTTAAAACATCTCAAAGGGCTCTTCACTGTTTTCTGTAAAGTGTAGTGACTGTATTTTGTAGACCAGGGTGGTCCAACTGGCAAATAGGGTCAATTCACCTCACAGCATATTCCGTGAAGCGCTTTGAGACGCCTCGAAGACTTGATAAGGCGCGATATCAAAGGCAAGGAATATTATTATCCGGGCTAAGAACCATTTCCCAACTTCGGAATGTCCGCTCCTCCCCCCACCCCACTCCCAGGAAGGCTGTTCACCAAGGTGGGAAGGAGGGAGCGTAAATTCAAATGTTGTCGGGCCGGATAAAATCACCCGCGGGCCGCCTATTGGCCCTCAATGCTTTTAAGAGCAGGAATATTAAATGGAGGGTAAAGCGGCTGATGTGGAGTAAATACCAGCACAGGCTGAATGGCCTCTCTCTGGCTGTGACGGTCTCTGAAACCCACCAGGCACCAGAATATAAGACCACAAAGAGACAGCGAGACGCCTGCACAAAACTAGTTCTTTATTTATAAACTCCTCCCGAAGCCACCGGCCGTCAGATCTTGTTAAAAGCCGCCACGTCCACGCTCTGCACCTGGAGTGAGCAAAGCAGAGACACCGTGGGGACACAGCAACAACAACTTAACAGTTATACAGCGCCCCTCACACAGCTGGGAGCCACCCCATTACCAGACGTGAGTGGAGTGTAACAGTCGGTGTGCACGGAGGGGGGTCACACACTGGGCTCTCCCTCTTCCCCCAGTTTACACAGTTCAGGTTTCTCTCCGGATAAGCTCCCCCATCAGGCTTGGCACGCAGCGAGCGAGATTACTCCACGTTCCCTGCATATACGTGTGTGTGTGTATGTGTCTCACTATCACCAAGCACCTCTCCCCACCACCCTCTCTCCCGCAAGACCCGATTCTGACAACAGTTACATCCCCGTCGTCCCCACTAGTCGGGATTTTACCGTAATCCTTGTATTTGACAACAGCATTCAGAGCAGCAAAAACCTTTCCCTGAGTAGCTATGTGCAGTGACTGTGTGTGTAGTGACCGAGTGTAGTGATAGTTCCAGGGCAGGGAGCCCTGGTATCTGGGGGATTGTCGACCAAGGCACCGGCAGAGAGAGAGAGAGAGAGAAATACCCTTCTCTTTTTAAACAGTCTCGTGGGTTCCTTAATGAGCTGTTTAATGTCCCATCCAGAGGACAATAACTGCCATTTATATAGTGTCCTTCACATAGGATGATTTAAGAGAATTTAATAGGATGCTTGAAGCATTTAAGAGTTCAGAGGAGAGCTCCACCCAACACTGCGCTGGAGCATCAGCTCACAGTCCCTGACTATCCTTCTCGCCCCCTGCCCACCACTCTCTGGGCTCCTTCTCGGAGTTCCTTCACCTCACTCTTATTCTCTCATCCTTCAAGTCTGTCTCAAGACCTTCCTCTTTGACCGTGTCTTCGACCACCTCTGGCCAGGCTGGCACAGGCACGGGGGGGAGCCAGGCTGGCACAGGCACGGCGGGGGGGGAGCCAGGCTGGCACAGGCACGGGGGGGAGCCAGGCTGGCACAGGCACGGGGGGGAGCCAGGCTGGCACAGGCACGGGGGGGAGCCGGGCTGGCACAGGCACGGGGGGGAGCCAGGCTGGCACAGGCACGGGGGGGGAGCCAGGCTGGCACAGGCACGGGGGGGGAGCGGGCTGGCACAGGCACGGGGGGGAGCCAGGCTGGCACAGGCACGGGGGGGAGCCAGCTGGCACGGGGGGGGCCAGGCCTGGGGGGGCAGGCCCGGGGGGGGGGGGCGTGACAGGCCGACACGGGCTCCGATCAGCGGTTGACGCTGACGCTATTGAGCGCCATACTTACAAACTCCTCAAACTTGGTGATCTCCTCCTCCAGCAGATCGGTGCCCACTTTGTCGTCCTCCACCACACACTGGATCTGCAGCTTTCGGATCCCGTAGCCGACCGGCAGCAGTTTGGAGCATCCCCACAACAGGCCGTCCACCTGCACCGAGCGCACACACGCCTCCAGCTTCGCCATGTCAGTCTCGTCAGACCACTGCAGGGGGCAAACGGTACATATCAACCTGTACTCTCCCACCGCTCAGTAGACTCCGGCCTGGCCCGCCCTGCCCCCCCACATTGGAGGTCGGGCCTTCAGCTTCTCTGCCCCCCACCCTTTGGAGCTCCATCCCAGAATCTCTTCGCCTCGCACCCCCCCTTGCCTCCTTCAAGGCATGCCTCAAGACCCTCCTCATCGACCGAGCCTTCGGCCACTCTCCCTGATCCCAAACCCCCCGCTAGGGTCCAAATCCCTGACCGTCCAGCGCCTTGGGACATCCTCCCGACGTGAAAGGACACGCTTTACACATGTAATTTATTGTTAATCACCCCATGGCGGGGGGCAAAGGGCACAAACACAGCCCTTACACCCGATTTCAACCATTTACACACATTACCCACCGGGGGTAGGGACTCAGCATTGTACACTGGGGGAATGATTAAATGCAAATATCTTCACTCAGAGGCTATTTCCCTCCCTCCAGTTTCTGATTAATGGTAGCACCCAAAGGGCGCTTCCTTCACTGAGATGGTCCCATTCTGAGCACCACCACTATTTCCAGATTTGCAGGGGCAGTAAAGAGAATCTTACGGGCTTCACATCCAGGAGGATGGAGGACTTAGCGATGAGGGCGGGTTTCTTGGATTTCCTCTGCGAGTACTGGCGTATCCTCTCCTCACGGATACGAGAGGCTTCCTCATCTTCATCACTGCCAAAGAGATCGATATCATCATCCTCCTCTTCTGCTGGGGCCTCCTGTGACAAACAAGACGCTTAGGTCCCAGCTCCTAACCTCCAACCCCAGCTTCAGCTCCCAACCCCAGCCCTCCATGCAGGGAGTTGGCGTAGTCTAGCCTAGATGTGATGAATGCGTGTATGAGGGTTTCAGTGGCCTGAGGGGAGAAGCTGTGCCAGAGTTGGGCGATGTTGCTGAGGTGGGAAAAGGCAGAGCGGGATATGTCATGGATGTGGGGTAGAAAGGAAGGACAGTTGAGCGTGAAACAAGACACCCAGTGTCTGGATTAGCTCAGTGAGGTGGAGTGTGCATCCTTGGATGGTGATGCTGTCACTGCCTGAGGTGTGGAGGCGCTGACGAAAGCCAATCAGGAGGGCCTCGGTCTTGTTGACGTTCAACTGTAGAAAGTTTGCTCTCATCCAGGGCATCGAGAGCGGCGGACAGCGAGTTGTGGAGGAGAGTGACCCAGGAGGATAAGTGGGAGAAAGCCCAGAGGGGGAGGAGTTCAGGGCAGCGGAGAGATTGGGGGAGATTTTTTTCAGTGGAGGTAGGAGATGGAGGTGGTGGCGGAGAGAGCGATTGAGGAGTTAAGGTAGATGGTCTGAGATGGCTTTGCTGGTGATGATGATGATGTCCGAGACGCTGAGGCCCCGGATAATCACCAGATCAAGCAGGTGGCAATGTACGTGGGTGGCAGAGCGGATGTGGAGGGAGAGGTTGTGAGAGGAGAGAGAAAACGTCAGGAGAGATAGAGCCAAGGGAGGGAAGTGCAGGTTGAATTCGCTTAGGATGAGGAGGCGTTCAGAGCAAAGGCACAGGGAAGCTAGAGGAGTGGAGATGTCAGAGAGGAAGGTGGGGGAGGGCTTGGGGGAAGGATAAACAAGGAGAATTTTGAGGGAAAGATTGGAGAAGGTAAGATGTTCGACTGCCTGCATATTTGCAGAGTTAATGACCCGCCATGTCCCTGGTGTTGACTCACCGCACTGGGTCGGTGCTGTGCGGGGGCAGCCGGCCTGGCGAGGGGGGCCTGTGTGCCGGCCGCTGACCTCTCCACAGCACACAGCCGAGACTCCAGCTTGCCCAGCGCTGACCGCAGATCTTCCACCACTGAGCAAGAGGAAAAACATTCAACCAGTGATCCGTACACCCACACGGTCTCCCCCCCCCCCCACCACCCACAGGAACACATTCCCCCCTGCAGGAACAGGAACTGAGTGGGATGACTCCCTCCCTGTCCTCAGTGACTGCTCTGTTCCTCCAGGTCTTGTCAATGAGCCAGGCTGGGCTGGCATCAATCAGCAACTTGGCATGAGTGACCCTCACAGAGGGTGGACTTTATTCTGGCATTGTACTGCCAAAACGTATGACTTTGGAGCGAGTTCAGCTTACTTCCTTGAGATTTGTACAAAAACAAGATGAGAGAGGAGGAGAGAGAAAGGAGGAGAGAGGGAGAGAGACGGAGGGAGAGAGAGAGAGACGGAGGGAGGGAGAGAGGACGAGAGAGAGAGAGGAGAGGGAGAGATGGAGAGAGAGAGGAGGGAAAGGGAGAAAAGGAGAGTGAGATAGAGGGGGAGAGAGAGAGAGAGAGAAAAGGCTGGGAAAATATAAACGACCCGCTGTACGTACCTTTGTGTAAATCCTCATTCTCCTTCTCTAGGATGCTGACCCGGTTACACAGCTCCCCATTATCAGCGCCCTGCACAGCACTCTGCAATCACAAGGCAGACTGGTCAGGCACTCGCTCGCACACACAAGCACACAACACGCACGCACACACACACACGCGCCAAACCAGGTGCTGGGCGGACAGCCACAGAGAGGCCGGAGGGAGAGGAAAACCCTGGCACTGGGGAGTCCAGCAAGGAATACAGACACTCGGGAGCAGCTCCACACTGTGCACGGGTCTGCTTCCGATAGCTCCCGGCGAGATGCAATCGATTTAGAGGAGGGGCAGCAACGGGAGAGGACGAGATACCCGGGAAGCCAGGGGGTTGGGGGTGGGGGGGTGGGAAAGAAAGGTGGGAAACTAGGGTTAAAAAGACATGATTCAATAAGATACCAGCACAGGCTTGAAGGTTTCCGCCCATCTTGTTCCTACCCCCAATGGTCACCGGTGGTGTGAGGCCACATCAGGGGAAGCAGCTGGAATAGGGCTCAGAGACCAGGCCTTTCAGGAGAGATTACTTACCCAAACTGGCCCTGAAAACGCTGCAGTGAGCCCCATGGCACAGCCATGTGGCCCACAGCAGCCTTGGAGTGGGTGCGACATCCTGTGACTGACGGCCACAGACCCTGGCTGAGCTGCAGCTGCTCCAGGAATTGGCACATGGGGTTGCACCGGGGACCCCCTCGGCCCCCACTCCACCCGGCAAGGGAACCGGTACAGGCAGCGCACGCGCACACACACACACACACACCCCCGTACAGGCAGCACCCACACACACACACCATAAGGCAGCATACACATACACACCATAAGGCAGCATACACATACCACACACACCTCACACAGGCAACACACATACCCCCGTACAGGCAGCACACATACACACACACACCCCGCACAGGCAGCACCCACACACACACACACCCCATAAGGCAGCATACACATACCACACACACCTCACACAGGCAACACACATACCCCCGTACAGGCAGCACACATACACACACCACAGGCAGCACACACACACGCCCCCACCCCATACAGGCAACACACACACACCCCGTACAGATAGCACACACACAATACCCTACACAGGCAGCAGAGAGAGAGAGCTCTGGGTACAGGCAGTACACACATATATATAGACACACACACAGAAAGTTCCCGCACGCATCGTACAGGCTGAACATAAACAAACATCAGATGAAGGATTATAGCAACACAACAACCACCGAGCACCTGGGACACAGGGCCTCGGGCCTCTCGTCACTCACAATGCAATGTCACAACAACGAAATGATGCAGTAAATCTTCTCACTTGTGAAGCCGTGCCTGAGTTAGTAAACAGCAGGACAAGCAATGGGGGGCGCGGGCAATGGGGTGGGGCGGGCAATGGGTGGGTGCGGGCAATGGGGTGGGATGGAAGGCGTGAGGTTAGTGATGGGTGTGGGGTACAGGGAACATGCAGTCTGAAATCCAGGCTTGGCTTTGCCGTGGAACCTCACGTGGTTGGAGATGGGATTATCCCGGTTTCTCCCTTTGGAATTGCCGTCAGGTTCCCAAATGGATGAGATCTAGTTATGGAGACATTTACACGTGCAGTGCAATGAGTGGTGGATTGACAACTCTCACTCCCTTCCCCACCCCCCCCCACCCAACCCACCCCTTCAGCCACACAAACCTGACCCACATTGCTCCCTGACAGCACATTTCACACTGAGAGCACCTTGGCTACGTTCTGTTTAAGAGACACCCAGATAATTGTGACAAGACCCTTGAAACAGGTTCACAAGCCCTCGAGTGAGCTGGCCACTGGCCACAGGTTTCAGTTCGTTCACTTCACAGGGCTTCTCCCCTTTCCCACAACACGATTAAACGTCACAGACCCCAGCAATCCTTACCGTGCTGAAGGACAACTCCCGCTCACTCCCAGTGTGAACAGACCATTAACCAGAAATCAGACGGGAAGCTGACCTAAAGGCACAGCTCATGGGAGACGGGAACAGAGGGGTCTATTCCCCTCTTCTAACCCCCTCCACCGCACCCCTCTATCCCCCTCTCCCGCACCCCTCACACCCCTCTATTCCACCCCTCTGTCAGATCGTGTAGAGGGAGCGAGACCTTCAATGAGGGAGAGGGTAATGGGTGAAGCCTAGTGGACAGGTTGGGCCAAGGGGTCTGTTTCCATGCTGTACGTTCCCTGTAAATGTATAATAATAAATAGGATGTAAATGTAAACGGTGATGATTGGCCTCAGTGGCCCAGGATGTCCTAGGTTAAACCGATGAACATTGAGCAAGGGCAGCAGTCTGGCTTCCTGTGCTGCAGATCAAAGGGACAATTGTGCTGGTGCTCAGACCCCGGCAGCCTATACCCCACTAGGCGCCCAACATCCAAACAACCCTGGCCCAGGGAGGAGAAGGCTCTGATCAGGGCTCTATCCTCAGTCCCTCATTTCCCTCATCTTCATCCTCCCGCTTGGTGACACCATAAGCAAATAGAGGGCTAGATCCCACGTGTATCTCTATCGCAACTCTGCATCACAGGTCCACTGATGTCCTGTCACCTGCCTGACAGACGTCAAGGCCTTAAAGGCCTCAACTTTCTTCAGCTAAATGTGGATAAAATGGAAACTATCCTTTTTGGCTCTGGTCAACACCTGCCTCACTGGACCAGTTCACAAGTGTGACGTTTGGCTGGGCCCTCAGCTCTTTCCTCCCTCACATCCTGTCTTTCTTCACTAAATTGCCTGCCTCAGTCCTCATCTCAGTCCTTGGTCACAATCCTCAATCACCTCACTCCCCTCCACCACTGCCCACATTCTCACTCACACAAAACACCCATCCTCGCCAAACTCCTCTGGCTGCCTGTCTCCTCTGGCTGCTAGATTCTCACTCTCACCTACAAATCTCTTCACTCCCTCTCCCGCCCACCCCCCCACCCAGCTACCATTTAATATCATTGAATAGTGTGGCAGTAAATCTGGGAGTTGCTGTTTTGGTCAGTCTCTGGGTGGACAGCTAAGTGGACAGTTTGCTTTGTGTCTCTCAGCCAGCTACGAGGAGCAGTACTCACTCCGGCCAGCGATTTCTGGATATTCTCCCTGGCTCTGGCAATGTCTCGAAGGATGTTACTCGCTCCATTCTCCTAGGTAGTGCAGAAAGAATTTAGTCAAAAGCTTGATCTCAGGTTGTGTGTATGTGTGTGTTTGGTGGGGGGGGGGGGGGGGGAGAGAGAAACAAGAGAAAAAATCCCTGAGGGTTAGAACCAATCTGGGTTCTAACCCTCTAACACTTTACAGGGGTAACTGAGGGTTTATCCCTGTTGCAGGGCCATACCCTCACACACATGGAGCAGTGAGGACGGATAGCTGCTTCCAATCCCCACAAACATTTGACCCGAACACCGCCACGAGGAATCGCAACGTGGAATAGTACAAACATGCAAGCAAATTAGTCTCGATGCTGAAACCCTGCCCGACAACTGCCCAACTCCTCCACGCTCAGCTTCTCACCTCTACCATCATTCCAGGCCTGGGAACATTTCAGGGCTGGTGGGGAGTGGTGGGGGGGGGGGGGTGGGGAAGGGGAGAAAAAGAGACTTCCCTCAAGCCCAAGACCACAAGGTGGTAGAAAGCTTCTCCAGCTTGGAGGCGAGGGTCTTCGCAATTGCTGGAACACTGTAACGTGGCAAGCATTGCGAAGGCCTCAGACGCTCAGCTCCAGCCAGGAAATGGCTGACAATCCGTAGCGTGAAATGTGTTGCACTCTTATACTCGTGTTTACAGAGGCTGTAAGGCTTGGCAGGCTGTCACTATAACCACAGTCACTGTAGTCACTAAACAAGGAAACAATCTTTGCCAGCTCAGGTCAGATACAGAGAATCACACATGTACCACAGAGATCTCATCAAGGAGCACAGGCCAGGTGTCAAAACACTCACGCCTCAGTTCACAAGGTTGTCTGGGTCAGGACTTTGAGCTCAGTCTAGGCTGACACTCCAATATCCGGGTGGCGATGGGGGAATGGGGGAGAGCAGTGGTTAGAGCACTCGCCTCGCAAGCGAGAGACCTGGGTTCAATTCCCGGCAGGGCGAAATGTTGGGCAAGTTTCTTACTCCACTTGCCTCTGTTCACATAGCAGTAAGTAAGAACCTAGTTGTTAGTCGACAGGCGGGTCGCTTTTCTGGGGATAATAATTCCTTCAAAATAATCAATAAAAAAAAAATTGGTCACGTCAAGGCACAACCGCTTGTGGGACACTGCTGTGCACAATTGGTCAATTGACTTTACAGTATATTCTGTGAAGTGCCGCTTTGAGACATCTCGAAGACGTGATAAGGCGCTATATTAAATGCAAGGAATATTATTATTAATCTGGGACCATCTTTCAGATGAGATGTTTATACTAGGCTCCGAGACCAGTGGCAATTTATCTGTGGACCGAAGCCCCAAATAGGTCGAACAGGGTAGAGAGCACATTTGCCCCACCCCTCACTCGCTTCACCTTGAATCAATGAATGGTTTACTCACTCTCTAGGCAAACCCTGACCCTGCCCTGCGCCTCCTTCCTCCTTCTGTTATAACCATTCGAGTATTGATCTCCTCTGCAGCCTAAACTGTGCTGTTAACAACTGTGCTGTTGTCCAGAGGTTCTAAACTTCTAAAATATTTGGAAAAGATTTTACCATGAAACAAGTCAGCATTTGTGCAGATACTGTCATCATCGCAACTCGAGACTGAACTTACTTTACACAGAGGTGCAGAACAGAACTGTCAGGAAATACAAGAGGAAATAGACTGAGGGGAGGGGAGAAAAGGGGAAAGAGAAGCAGCGGGAGAGGGAAAGAGAGAGGGAAAGAGAGAGGGAAATCCCCGAAACTCTCCCCAACACACACACCCCCATCGCACATACACCCCAACACCCGCGCCCCCCGCAACCGCCCCCTCCACCAACACAAACCTCCATAATCCCTCAGTGTGGGTGTGTGCGCGAATGTACGTGTGCTCGTGCATGCGTATGTGTGTGAGTGTGTGTGTAGGGGGGGTGAGGAGTGTGTGTGGGTAACTATGTACGTTTGTGTGTGTGGGGGGTGGGGGAGTGGAGATGAGTGTATGTGTGTGATTGTGTATATGTGGGGGGGGGGGAGGAGAAAAGGGGGAGATGAAGGGAAGAGAAAGCTTTGTGGTGAGTGTGTCTGACTACCAGCGCAAGTCACCAGTGGGCTAAGCGTTTTCACAGCCAATACATGGATGACAATTTGTCAATAATAAGTAAGATGGCGGCTGGTGGGGGGGGGGGAGGGGGAGGCAGCCGAAAGCAGCACCTCATGTGAAAGCGCTATACTCGTCTCTCCTCTCACCCGCGCCCCCCCCCCCCACCCCGATCAGACTCAGTGACCACCTTGTGCAACTAACATCTTAAAGTCGGCTGCACACACTCTCACAGCGTCTCGACTGACCTCACACTCAAGACACTGAATTACTCCTTCGACTCTGCTGAACGGCTCTGGGTGGAGGGGCAAGGGGCGGGGAGAGGGAGGGAGAGGAACTGATTTAGAGGATAAAGAGCAGAAGGTAAATCAGAGTGCATTCCCCACCCAGCAAATAGACAGGGGCTGCAGCGCTCAAATTACAATCTCCGGCCTCTCCGGCCATCGCCTCCACTGACATAAGTGTTGAGACCAGAACTGCCTGTAGCCTTCACCAGTAATCTCGAGAAATCACTCCCCCTTCTACCGAGGAGCCCAGACTGTGGGTTGGGGTAACTGATGGGAGTCTGACTAGCTAAAACCACGTAGCTTGCCATTGATATTGCTGTCTGGCAAGCTTTCCCGCTGTTTGTCCAGCTCGGACCACCCTACCCGTTAAGAGCTTTGGCTTGCAGGGTTGACAGAAGCCGAGTGGAATGACTCCCTAGCCCCAGTGAACTGGTCTGCACGCATTGTTGACGGCTGTGGCTGGAAGGCAGGTGACTTAGTTAACCGACTGCTGTATCGCGCCCACCCCCCCCACCACCCCGGCAGTACAGCCCCTTGCCCCCACCCCCCACCCCTTCCCCCAGTGCTGTACCTGAGCTCCCGCAGGACACTTGCTGACGGAGACGGATCTGTTCAGATTCTCGTAGAACTGCCTCTCAGCGTTGTCGTACTTGTATTTGTCAAACCAGACTTTCTCCTGGGCCAAACCCTCGCCTGCCATGGTTCTGTGAAGCGGGTTAGACAACAAGCACAATAGTGAGCACCTATTTCTCTCTTTACATAACCATCGCAAAGGAGAACCTTGTCTTATAAATCGTCTCTATCCTTCTAATTGATATCGCACATTTCACATCAGGAAGACGACCCAAAGCTCTTTACAGGATTAACTGTAGTGTAGTGAAGTGTAGTGGCTGTTTTGTAGGCAAACATGGCAGACAATATGCAAACAGTAATGCCAAGTGAATTATCTTGGGCTATTATCATACAGGACATCGGGAGAGAGAAACTCGCTTTTCTTTCCCAGCCAGACTGACACAGACAGGCAGACAGACACTTTGCTGACGATCACTTTCCTTCCAACTCTCCCCTCCCCCTACATGAGACAAGACAGATGCTCAGTTTGTTGTACATGAGCCACTGCTGCCTCCTGCTCCAATTACAACTATATTCAGTCTGTCTGGTCAGGTCATTGGGGGCAGGGACTCTTCCCACTCAGCTCCTGTTAACCGTGCAAGCCAAAGCCCTAACAGGTAGGTAGGGTGGTCCTAGCTGGACAAGCAACGGGAAGCTTGCCAGACAGCGCTGCTCTCAATGGCAAGCTAATCGGTTTAGCTGGTTACGATTCCGGCAGTTGCCCCCAACGCACACTCTGACGTCCCCAAGCCATGTCTCTTGCCGACCTGCGCCTAATACCCTTGGAATTAGTAAGCGTGTGTAGTTGGCACACGTACGTGGAACTCTGATGTTGGTTTGGAAACACTTCAGCGCTGTGGTGGGTTACTGTATGTGACAGTAACCCATCACAAGTGAAAATGTAAAAGTCAGGCCCTTTGCTTGAGGAGTGGTTTCAAGCAATAACTGTGGCAAATCGCTCTGACTTTCTTCTCTCCCCCCCCACCCCCTCCCACCCCGCCGCCCCATCCCACCCTACCCCACAGCTCGCATCAATACAATACAATGCCTTTCATGTCAGGAGACATCCCAAAGCTTAACATTTACAATAGTGAGATTAAGCAGACTGTGTGGTAGCGCTGCAGTCTTAAATGGAGTTCTATGAGATTGAGGGTTAGCTCAGATCACTGCACACAAACACAAAGCTCTTGTTCCATAGCTCACCAGGATGGACAGACAGACAGACAGCTCCATGAGACCTCTTTGTCCGTTTATATTAGAACAGTTAGTGGGGGGGGGGAAAAGAAAAAGTGTGGCTGGAAGGCGAGGACATCGTATCTGCCCATTACCACAAACCATGAATTTACAGGAACCGGCAACTCTTCCTGAGGCACTTGAAGCTCAGGACAAAATGGCCATATCAACACCAACTTGCATTTATTTATACATTGCCCGCCCGCCAACCAGCACACAGGATAGACAATGTCTGCAGGGGTGGACGGCAGGCAGAGGGAAGGTGACCAGAGGCGAGGTAGGTCTTCAGGTGGAAGATGATGACGGGGGGTGGGGGAGAGGGGGGGAAGCAGAGGGATTGAGACAGGGAACTCCAGAAGTCAGGGACACAGTGGCTGGAGTCACTTAAAAAAAATTACTGAATGAAGGCTGTAGGTCACATTTAAGCACACAAAATATTCTTTGCTGTATCAAGCAACCTCAGACTGAAACCCACACTGAACAAAGGAATAAGTCTGCAACTTTATGGTGCTTCACGTCAAAATGCTTCACGGTTTGAGAATGACTCGAGGCTACGAATGGCTTCATCGCAACCTTTTGGGTTGGCCCAACAAACTAATCATAGAAACAACAAAATAGCATAGATTTATCCTGTGAATTAAGGAATATTCCATCATGAAATTCATTTTATGGACCAACCAAAGAAGCTGGTCACCACTAGTTGAATGTCTTACGGACGGCACCTCCGACAATCTCTCATGTCCTCCCTCCCCCAAAAGCCCCTGGAGCATCAGCCTAGACAGTAAGCTCAAACTCTCAACATGCAGTCACGCCATCCCGAGGCACTGCTCAGAGTGTCTCCCTGACATTGTGTACAAAGCTGAAAAGGTTCACCCATGTTTCACACCATGCAAGCCTACTTATTGAGTAGCCCAGGGCGCTCTGCCACCTCAGTGGTGCCCACTGGCTGTTTGGGAGTGAGCTCCTGGAACCCCGCGGCAACACTCTGAGCCTTGGCCTGTTGGTAGCGTCGCTCTGCCTGGTCGCAGGCAGCTTTGCTGAGCCACACGGGCTCGCTGTCCTGGTGAAGGAGCCACTGGAGGGGCCAGGTCGTGTCTGTGGGCTGTGCTGACCCCTTGCTCTCCCCCAGGGCGGGAGCTGGTAACCCAGGGCCGGGCATCAGGCAGCCTGGTGTCCCGGGAGTGGTGCTGGAGCTCCTGTACCCCTCGTCAGGGGTCGTCCCCAGCTTCAAACCCTGGGGGCCGGCAGGGGACGGGGAGCCAGTGAGGGGGGGGGCAGTGGGCAGGTCAGTGGGCGGGGAGCCAATGAGGGGTGGGGTAGTGAGCAGGTCCGCGGGCGGCGAAGTGGGTGGAGAGCAGGCGAGGGGCGGGGAACCGGTGGAGGGAGAGGCATTGAGTGGGGAGCCGGTGACGGGCGGGGCAGTGGGCGGGGAGCCGGTGACGGGTGGGGCAGTGGGCGGGGAGCCAGTGACGGGTGGGGCAGTGGGCGGGGAGCCGGTGACGGGTGGGGCAGTGGGCGGGGAGCCGGTGACGGGCGGGGCAGTGGGCGGGGAGCCAGTGACGGACGGGGAGCCGGTGACGGGCGGGACAATGGGTGGGGAGCCGGTGACAGGCGGGGCAGTGGGTAGAGAGCCGGTGACAGGCGGGGCAGTGGGTGGGGAGCCGGTGACAGGCGGGGCAGTGGGTGGGGAGCCGGTGACTGGCGGGGCAGTGGGTGGGGAGCCGGTGACGAGCGGGGCAGTGGGCGGGGAGCCGGTGACGGGTGGGGCAGTGTGCGGGGAGCCAATGACGGGCAAGGCAGTGGGTGGGGAGCCAGTGACAGGCGGGGTAGTGGGTGGGGAGCCGGTGACAGGCGGGGCAGTGGGCAGGGAGCCGTTGACGGGAGAGGCAGTGGGCGGGGAGCCGGTGACGGGTGGGGCAGTGGGCGGGGAGCCGGTGACGGGTGGGGCAGTGGGCGGGGAGCCGGTGACGGGCGGGGCAGTGGGAATCGCTTGCCAGCGGATGACAAAGAGGCGCTCGGCTTCCTCGAACTCGCTGCGGTTGAGCCAGATACCACAGATGAGGTGGTGGCAGGCGGAGCCCGGGCGGTGAGGGGCCGGGCCACAGGCATTCATCTTGCGGGAGACGGGGGGCTCCAGGTTCCCCCGGTTTGCTGCAGTTGCAGCAGGAGAACCCCACGCCCGCTCAGCCAACCGGGTTTGATAAGCACGTTCAGCCTCTTCAAACAGATGCTTCCGAAACCAGATGGATTCGGCCCGCAGGCCCGCCAGCACCCAGCCCGCAGGCCTCCTCCTCTCCTCACCCCCGGCCTCCCCCAGGGCTGCTGGCCCAGTGCCGAGAGTCGCCACGGACTCCAGGGCGGCGGCGGCGGCCTCATAGTACAGCCGCTCAGCCTCGTCGTGCTGGTACTTCTCCATCCAGAAAGGCTCCGGCCGGCTCCTCATCCTCAGCTCTGCAGCGTGCAGCATAACACAAACATGTAAAGAGATTGAGTGAAAAGGGAGAGAGAGAGAGAGAGAGGGATGGAGGGAGGGAGGGTGCGAGAGGGGGCGGGGGGTGGAAGAGGGAGGGGAGGGGAGAAAGCTTGATCGAGGCCCGAAATTCCACCTCACCGTAGCCTGACACCACTTTGGCCTTGTTCCTTAAATTTAAGAACTGTGGGGGTCCTGTAGTTCAGGGGTTAGAGCACTCGCCACCCAAGCGAGAGGAGCTGGGTTCGATTCCCGGGGCAGGACGAAACGTTGGGCAAGTTTCCTTACTCCACACGCCTCTGTTTACCCGGCAGTAAGTAGGAACCTGGTTGTTAAGTCGATCGGCGGATCACTTTTCCGGGGGTAATAATCCCTTCAAAATAAAAGAATAATTTGGTCACTCAATCCATGACTGCTTGGCATGACCGCTGTGCGCAATTCAATTGGGTGTCGTGTTTTGCCCACAAAATACACAGTCACTACATTTTACAGTATATAAAGCCGCTTTGAGGCGTCTCAAAGACGTGATAAGGTGCTATATCAAAGCAAGGATTATTATATTATATACAGTTTCTCTCCAAAGGCCCTCGGGCCGAGTGACCATGTGTGAGGCTGGGCAGTGAGTGTGGACAGTACAGGCCGTCACAGTACCAGCCTGACCTCTTCCCACCCGGATGTCACACGTGCACTCGCGCACACAGCCAGAGGAGAGTAGTGCGGAGGGACCAGAAGCAGAAACTCTGGCTGATTTTCCTCTTCCTTATCATGGAAATGTAAATCGGGCAGTAATCCTTGCATTACCACTTGGTCCAGAAGTCTCAAAGCGCTTCACAGGATTCACTATAAAGTGTAGTGACTGTATTTTGTAGACAACACACCAGCCAATATGAGAGGTCAGACAGCCATTGAGTTAGAGCTTGTAAATGAGAATTACATTTATAATAATAATAACATGTTTCCTCAGTCCCCACCCTGCAAGGACATTTAATTTGTCTGAAAATGTTAAACCAGGTGGAAGTTCGGGTCTCTGGAAAGGGAGAGAATGAAGAGCGTGCACTATCGATAAATAATCACAGAAACATAGAATATTACAGCACAGAAGGAGGCCATTCAGCCCACCGTGCCTGTGCTGACACTTTGGAAGAGCTACCTAATGAGTCCCACTCTCCCGCTTTCTCCCCCACATCCGCGCCATGACCGGCACTGCCTACCGCCACCTCCACAGCATTGCCAGACCCCACCACTGCCTCACCCCTCGGGCTGCCGAAACCCTCACCCACGCATTCGTCACATCAAGGCTCGATTACGCGAACTCCCTCCTCATCGGCCTTCCCACCTCTTCCCTTCACAACCTGCAGATCATCCAAAACTCTGCAGCTCGTGTACTCT